TTTGACATATACGAACAATATAAAGATAGACCAACGTCAATTAAAGAAGAAAAAAATACTTTCCCTGAATATTTAAATTCGGAAGTGAATTCAAAATTAGTCAATTCATATATATATATACATGAATTATAGCCTTGAGCGATAAGATTCATAGAGCGACGAAATTTTAGAAAGTACTTTGAAACCTCGAAAATTATTCAATTAGTCGTGCAAAACTTCCAACATCATATAAAAATCCAATACGATATGAGAAATACAGAGGAAAAAAATCTTATTTCTGTTTATTGTTTTGATTTATTTTGATGAAAATCACAAGTTTTATGCAATTGTTTTATTGGCAAATTATACAAAAAAAAGTGAGACCATTTATTTGCATATTAAAAATAATTTGTTTTAAGAACAACTTTTTTAAATCTGAAATTAGTTTAAAGAACATTTTTCTTTTGATTATTTTTTTGTTTTGTTTATTTAATTATTATTCTTTTGATTTTATTCAATTAGAAACAATCCAATTAAAGTTTGTAATATACAAAAAAGAAAATACAGAAAAAAATTCAATTTAGGTGAGACAAAAAAGATTCTCTTAAACCAATAATAAAAATTTGGTTAAAAATGTGATGAAAAAAAGAATTTTTTTTTTTAAATTTTAAAGTTGATAAAAACAATTTTTTATTTCATCTACTTCTCAATTCAAATTTTATTATGGAATATCGTCTCACGTATCAAATATCTTATTATGCTAATAAAAGGTCATTCACCGTGTTCAGTTTTATGCTAATTGCCATTTATGTTTTATCCTTCTAGAATATATATATATATATATATATATATATATATGTATATAAAAATATTTTTGTGCAATATTCAAATCTAAACAAAAAAATTTTTTGTTAAACCATTAGAACATTAAAAATATTTATGGTACCAAAAAATAAATGTTATACTAAGCAAACATAAATTTTTAGTGCAAGTAAGTAATTAACTGAATACAAAATAATTATATAATCAAAACAGTATATAGATGAATAAGTCTTAATTTAAGACATAAAAATGTCTGGATTTCACATTTTTCGTAAATGTTATTTTCACCCAAATTTCAGATTTAAAAAATCCGATTATTTCGATACTTTGTGAAATAAATAATAAATAATAATAATTAATAATTTTAAATTTAATAAACTAAGTGCAATAAAATAATCTTTAGTGCTCTCTAAATCTGAATTAGTAAAAATGTTTATACTAATTTGAATTAGTGACTCACTTTTTGCTTCTGAGTTAGTAAAATTTTACTAATTGTTAGTAAAAGTTACTAATAATTAGTAAAATTAATTATTTTAATTAGTAAAAGTGACTCACTTTTTGCTTCTGAGTTAGTAAAATTTTACTAATTGTTAGTAAAAGTGACTCACTTTTTGCTTCTGAGTTAGTAAAATTTTACTAATTGTTAGTAAAAGTTACTAATAATTAGTAAAATTTTACTAATTCAGAAGCAACAAGTGAGTCACTAATTCAAATTAGTAAACATTTTTACTAATTCAGTAACTTTTACTAACAATTAGTAAAATTTTACTAATTCAGAAGCAAAAAGTGAGTCACTAATTCAAATTAGTAAATATTTTTACTAATTCAGATTTAGAGAGTGCATAATAAAAAAAAAAAGAAAAAAAAAACTTTTATTGTTAATATATTTTGAAATGTGCATATAGACTGAAAACAAGATTTTTTTCCTCTGTGCATTGTAAAATCATTTTTTTGTTTAACAAACAAAAAAAACAGCGAAGAAAATAACAAACATATCTCACACTGAATTTCAATGAACTGTGAATATATTTATTTATATCTCTTGTCTTGAATACCAGAAAGGAACGAGTTTTACGAACTGCACGATTCTTTTGGATTCCATTTGGGTTTTACTTAAGTAAAAATAAAAAAGACAAAAATGCAAATCAACATATTTTGAAGATGAAGTAAGTATTTCGTGTGTGTGTTTTTTTTTCTTGAAAAAAGAAAAAATATATATATAAAGAATCCGGAATATTGAGGTAGATTAAGAGAGAATCGCATATTATTATTATTATTTTTTTTTTTATTAATTTTTAAGAGTGTGTGTTGTTCAAAATATATTTGTCCTTCGATATAGTGTATATATATATGACGTATGGGTGAGCCCCGGGCTCATGGCAACGACAGGTAATTTCGCAACCCTCGATTATAGACTGAGGGTATACGAGCATATAGTCACATGCTCGTATTTCGAATTCACTGACTACTTTCAAATAAGTTGACGAAAGGTGTTGAGAAAAAAAAAAGTATGACGGTATGTCAACCGTCAACGTGTTTAGTTTGAAGAAATTATGAAAGTTAGCCATTATATATCGACATTGAAAAATATTCTATATAAAGAAATGAATCCGCAAACAATAGAGTCAAAAACGTAGTCCTACTTCGAATTTCAAAAAAAAAAAATATGAGTAATACTCCCGTGAAAGTTGGAGGATTTAAACAAGAATATATTAATTGATTTAAAAAAAAATAATTTATCATTGTTGTTAATTTATTTCATAAAAAAACAATTTAAAAAATGTATTAAAATACAATGTAAATACACTAAGAATACAATTTTTTCTCTGAACTAATTAATTTAAAAAAATTAAATTAATAAAAAGTTGAGTTTATATAATATATGAATAATATTAATTATATATTATATTATGTTTTCAAATAATTCTATATTTTTTTCTGAATATCGAAAAAAATTTTATTCTGTGTGTAGTACATCATATATTCTACTTATGCAAATTAATTTTATCAGTATTACATATTTCTTCCATGAAAATGCTGGTAATTCCAAAGCATAATACTTATTAATGATTCTAAAAATAAACGAAAATTTAAAAATAAAATTTATTAATTCTTCAGTTACTTGATATTTATTTGTAAAATTAAATATTATGAAATTTAATTGCAATATTTATTTATCATTGTAATTTCAATATTTATTTATTTTTAATGGTGCTATTTTATAATTTAGGAAAGTGTTACAAATTTAGAAATTTTCACGCATAAAAATTCTCTTATATAATATACGTTATAATGTTTATTATAATACTTTTAATATAATTTTTTATTATGTAAGAAAATGTAAAACTTTTTAAAAAAAACTTAACAATTTATTATTATTAAGCAAAAAAAAAAAATTATAATAAATAATTAATATTATTAAAATAAATTTTTCATTATTATTACTTTAATATAAAAATTTAGATTTCTTCTCTCAAAAGTGTCAAATAATTCATTAATATTAATTAATTATTTTCTTTAATTGTGTAATTAAATTAATTAATATTCATCAAAATCTAATTGCTACACTGTGTAACGCTTGCAATTAAATAACAAAAAAAAATTTTAATTAACTTTACACAGTTATTTAAATTGTAATTATGAAATCGAAATTGACGTAAAGAATTAATCGTCCATAAAAAGACAAAACACGTTCCTAGATTATATTTTAAACAATAAAAAAGAATGAATGCAAAAAAAAAAAATACTTAATTACTTCGGAAGTGTTTCTATATTTTGTAATTAACGAAAAGAGATAGTTTCATGGAAAAATATTATGTAATAATTATAGAACTTTATATATGAAAATATATATTATAATAATATGTGTTATGAGGTAAATATATATTGCAAAAATTGTTTTTTTTTATCTATTTTTACATTAACTCTATATAGCGGATGTAACAGCTTTCCTTTCATTGAAAATAATTATATTAATATCCTCTTTTGACCTTTGATTACAGAGATCTATCATTAAAATCACAGAAATGCACTTAAATTGCACTCTCTTATAGACATCCACCTCACATTAACACACAATATCAAATTGATTTTGCGCCTATATCGTGAAGAAAAAAAAAAAAAATTCGCGCCTATATACCTGCAATAATTTCTGCACACACAAGGATTAAATGTTGAGTATATATAAAACTTTCACGTGTATATTATAAACGTGCGCCTATTGCGCTCGCTCTTGTCTTGCACCCGCGGAACCTCAAAAGAAACTGAAAGTCCCGCTTCTTTCAAGCTGGTCCACTACTGAAGTTCGTTTCCACCGTATAAGACAAGAGGGGCCCCACAAAGAAGTACACACATTTATATTTATGTTTCACATGAATCCTGACCATTTACATCGTTTACGTCTCTCATGGCAAACATTTTTTTTTTTTTTCAATTCTATATATCTATTTCGCAAAAGATAGTGTAGTTAATGCAGTTTTTTAGTCATGCTTCAAGAATTCATCATGATTCACTGGAAGAAGTACTCGTTTTTTTTTTCTAATTAAATAATAAGCTCGATATTAAGGAAAAAGAAGATCTGTTTATAATTATGTCGAATTGTACATTAATAATTGTTAAATAATTATAATGCCTACTTATTTGTTTTTTTTCATTCACAATTGACAAATAGGGCAATATAATTATTTTGACAAATTATTAATTGACGCACTGAAAAAAAAATTTATTTGATTCAAATACTCGATTACTTGAGTATTATCAAATAAATATTTATTTGAACCAAATAATTTTTATTTGAATTAAATAAATTGTATTTGAACCAATAATTTCTGTACTTGAAACAAATACCATTTAATTGACTCAAATAATAATTATTTGATACAAATAAATATTTATTTGATAATAGTCAAGTAATCGAGTATTTGAATCAAATAAATTTTTTTTCAGTGCGCGTTTTATTTCAAATCATTTTTGAATATCAAAAAATAAAAAAAAATAGAAACGAATCAGTTTGATGATTTGAAAATTAAGATTAATTTGCAAAAAGGTAAAAGCTTTTAAGTACTTTAAAAGCACCTTTTTTTAGTTTCTTTGAATAAAAAATTCGTTTGAATTACTTCAAAATTTCATTTTAATTACATAAATATATATTTAATTCAGTGCAGTCACAATGTTGTTTAAACAAAGAATAAAGCACTCACCGATTGCGGATTCCCTCGACGAAACGATGGTTGCATTGCCTCTTTTGGAACGCAGCCCTCGGAAATCCCTCCTTTTTCTGCATCCTCGTCTGCATCAAAGAACTACTATATGCTGGGGGCCACTTTTACTCTGCATCCTCCTGACCTTCAGACTGAAACATTTTAAAAATAGCCATTAATATTGCATTTGAATTAATTAAATGACATTGAAAATGTCAATTATAAACGTTTACTTTCCAAAAAAGAAAAAATTTTTTTTTTAATTGTATGTTATGCGTTTCATTTTTGTTATACTTTTTTAAAATCGAAACATTTTTAACAATAATAGAATAAAGAAAACAACAAATACTTACTGAGAACTGCATTCGTTTGTAAACGACCTCCATTCTGGAGTGGCGGCTCAAGAACAATGATTAATTACCGAAAAAAAACACTCCCGTCGTTATTTTATAAATAATTTTCAGTAAAAGAATTAAAATTGCATTATAATGATTGATTGCACGAATTTAGACAAAGGAGTCGAACACTTCCGAGAAAATTGAAGGGATACATTTTGAAAAATTAAAAAAAAAATTTTTTACTCTTTTTATAAAAATATTTTGCGAACTCGAACGGTTTAAAAACTCGCGTCCACGGACACTCCCGACAAAATTGATTGAAAAAATAATGGGGCATAAATTTTGAAAAATAAAAGTATTTATACTTTTTATAGAAATATTTTGCGAACTCGAACGGTTTAAAAACACACGATCACGGACACTCCCGATATAATTAATTGCAAAAAAAAAAAAAATGTTTTTTATAAAAATATTTTTCGTATTTCGGAACGGTTTTAAAAATATGCGACTTTTCTGTAACAGAGAGAAAATGCTGTTAATATTCGTTATTCTATTTTTTCATGCTTTTATACATTTCTATAATTAACAATATACGATAAATACAGTATAATAAATACTTATTTCTAGATTAAGAATATACTAAATTACATATTCCTGAAAAAATAAATGATTATTAATATAAAAAAGATATATTATTTCTCACCACGATGATGCAACTGAAAAAAATTATTAATTAAACAAAACATTCACAAAACATTTAAAAAACAATCACACAACACTTACAGACATTCACAAAACATTAAAATGTAAGACAACATAGTGACAAAAAAAATAAAAGATAAAATACATTTTCACTGGTACTCCAGTTACTTGTTTTTACTTACATTTTTCACCCGATTTCCCTACCTGTTGCTATATTTAAAACGAACATAAATGCCTATTTTTCCCGAATTTTCTACCTACATTTATATTCTAAACGAAACTAATACCGCCCAGGTGCAAAATGACCTACACTAGGGTTAACGTCCCGGGACGTTACCGTCACCTGAGCGATCTTTTCTGAAAAGAAAACATTTAATTAGTCCATAATTGAAAAAATTATCAAAAAATTTTTATTTCCACATGCATTAATATTTAACTTTTGAAAATAAAATTTACTATTCAAAATTGAAAAATTGTGAACAAAATTAATTAATTAAATTATTTAAAGTTAATAACATTTTATAAATTTAGTTTAAATTACTTTTTTTAATAGAAAGAAAATTAATTTGACTCATTAAGAAAAATTACAAAACATTAAAAATATTAAACACACAATAAATAACATACATATCATATAAACAATGAAAAGGAACATTAACAATATTATTAATTTACCTAGTATTAAGGTAGTAATCCACAAAACATGTAATATTTTAGGATGTGGGGAGTGTTAGAAATTTTGAGGGGCTAAATATCCGAAAATATCATATGCTTTTTTTAGATTACCCCTAAAAATTACCAGAAAATAATAACTTTGTCAATGGTGTCACTATGTTGTTTTTTTCCTTCCCTGTTTTTTTTTAATTTTAATATATTGTTTGAATCAATATAATTATTTTTTTAAGTCAAAAAAATTTATGAATTAAAAATATTTTTAAAAAATTAAGTTTCAATTTATAAATCTATTTTAATTAAATTAATAAAAAAAAATAACTGCTTTAAACAGGGAAGGAGTTAAATAAAAAATGACTCACCGATCGGCGAATCCCACGTCGGGGCAAAAGTTACATCGCCACTTCTCGAGCGCTTCAGGCCTGCTCCCGAGGATCCCTCTTTCTTGTGCGCACTTCTGCGCGAGGCCGGGAGCGTTAAAAAAAATCTTATAAAAAAAAAAGAAAAAAGAAAACAAAAAATTTTATTAAAAAAAAGTATGCAGGGGCCACTTTTCTTCTTCCACATCCTTCCTGTCCTTCAAGTTGTTTATTGGGCATTGTCTGAAAAACACTGAAACAATAAAAAATTAATTAAAACTTAAATAATTTACAATTATATTTTAAAATCCTAATAAATATTGACAATATCCTACAATATTTACATTATTGTAATAATGTTTAAAATTAATCAACTTACCTATTGCGAATTTTTTCGTCGTGTTAAAGATATGATGACACCATACTCTCTCTATCTCTTTCAATAGATGAAAGTTTCTTCCCTGGAATAGACTGAAAATAAAAAAAAACATGTCATATGTAAAATAAAGAATTCCTGATTTGATTGTACAGTTAATTATTACAATTGATAACAAAATTATTTATTTAAAATAATAAATAAGATCAATCAAATAATTTTGTTTCTTTTTATCACAATTTATAAGTATTTCTAAAAAGATTCTAAAGTATTGAAAACTATTTTTTACTAGCACTACATATTATTTAAAAAAGGATATTTCCAATAATATCTATTTATTATCATTATTTCTAATTTTTTAAATTTTACTTTGTTCAAAATTAACCAATGAAAAAGAATACTTACAATTTGCGATTTTTCGCGACGTGTCAAAGGTACGATGACTGCTAAATCTCTCTGCTACTGGACCAACTGCCTGAAAAAAATAATTCGTTATATTATATGTGTAAAATAAATTTTTAAAAAATCCTGAATATTGTCAATTATTAGATTATTCTAATAATTATTATACTTTTAAATATGTCAATATTTATAAATGCTAACTGTTAATATTGTACTAAACATCATTTCAAATACTAAAATAAATTTTAATTATACATATTTTTATTTCTAAATATTTAAACAAATTAATTTTGTCAATAGCATTCATCATTATCTCAAAATATACATAAACTAAGAGAAAAAATTTAACAACTCACATTGAACTGCGACTCAGCAATGCCAGATCTCCTCCAGGAGCAGCTCCGCAACAAACACCCATCCTTCATGATTGAACACCTTGAAATTGCGAAAAAAAACTATTTTATACAAAAATTATTAAAAATAATAATTTTTAAGAAAAAATGAATTTAATTATTTTTTAGGTTAATTTTATAAAAATTAAACCATTTCTTATTCTCAGTTTTTTAATAAATATTAATTAAAAATTTGAAATTATGAATTTTGAAATTAATTAATAATTAAGTAAAATAATAATTTTCTCCATCAAGAGAAGGACATCCATGCGCTAATAAATATGTAAACAAAAAAATACATAAGAGACTCACCTATTCGTTGATTTAGTAGAAGTTGTCATTGTCATCACATTGGATAAAAATGTCATCCAATTTTTCTCCAAGTCTGAATTCTGTAAATAAATAAAAAAACAAAAATTCGTTAAATAAAAAATTAGAAGTTTTTTTTTGAAAAATAGATCCATAAATAGAAAATTTAAAAAAAATTACTGTATTTGCAAATATAAAATTAAAAATTATTAAAAATGTTAAAAAATGTTTAATAAAAGTGCAATTAAAATGGAAGATAGAATTTTTAGAAAAAAATGTTAAAATTTAAAAAAATGAAAAGTTGATGACGCCGAAAGGAAAAACATATTTTTGGCTTTCTTTTACTGACGTTATTTTATTCCGTTTTTCAGTACTGTAAACAAACAAAAAAAAGTTAAATAAATTGTTAAACTACTTTTTTTCACTGTAATAACCTATCAGAACTTCATTTATTTTCAATTTAATTAATTAATTTTCAATTATTTTTTAAATTTTTATTTAATGTTCATTTATATATAATAATAAGAATAATAATATTTAATGTTGATTAGAAATTGAAAAGCTGTACAAGATTGCAATCTAGTAACGGCAATGTGAAGTCATAATCTATGCAACAAGTCACAAATGCAAAAAATTTTTAGGTTAGAATTCTTGTCGAAAATATTTTACCTAATTTTTTTCTTTTTCTTCACAACTGCCAGGAAACTTATGTGATTTTTCGATTATTTTAATAAAACAGTACTCAATTCTTACAAAATATGTATAAATTAACGTTTCGATTAACAAAATACTATAAGATTAAACTCAGACGCACAAAATGTGAATCTCCTATCAGATGACGTCATTTGCAATGAGCAGAAATGCCAACCCAAGATTGCAAAAAACTAAACTCTTCACTATGCCAATATGAACAAAATTCCTGTCTGATAAAAGCTTGATTTTTTTTTTATTCATTTAATTTGCTATTTTTATATTAATTATTCATAAAATAAAATTTTTATATTAATACGATTTGTATTATACATTTACCTGTACTTTCTTTTTTGACATTGCGATGCTACACTTTTTAGGTTAGATTTCTGTGTCAAAAAATTTTATCGACATATACTAATTTTTTTTATTCCTGCCATGAAACTTTTATAAATTTTCGATAATTTCGAGAAATCTGAACTTAATTACAATGAAATACATATAATTAACGTTTCGATTAACAAAATACTATAATAAGATTAAACTGAGACGCACAAAATGTGAACCTCCTACTATCAGACGACTCCATTTGCAATGAGCAGAAATGCCAACCCAAGATTGCAAAAAACTAAACTTTTCACTTCTACCAATATGAACAAAATTCGTCTGATAAATGCTTGATTTTTTTTATTTGTTTAATTTGCTATTTTTATATTAATTATTCATATTTTTATATTAATACGATTTGCATTATATATTTACCTGTATTTTCATGTTAAGCATTGGGATGCAAAACTTATAGGGTTAGATTTCCGTGTCAAAAATTTTTATCGAAATATACTAATTTTCTGCCATGAAACTTTTATAAATTTTCGATAATATTTAGACAAACCTGAACTTAATTACAATGAAATTTGTATAATTAACGTTTCCATTAACAAAATACTATAAGATTAAATTTAGACGCACAAAATGTGAACTTCCTACTATCAGATGACGCCATTTGCAATGAGCAGTAATGCCAACCCAAGATTCCAAAAAACTAAACTTTTCACTTCTACCAACATGACTATCGTTAAACAAGATATTAAAGCAAAAACTAATTTAACTTCCCAATAAATAAACAAAAATTGATTAAGTTTTATATTATATATAGGAAAATACTAACCAATATTCACGACAAAATCACATTTTATAACAATTGAAATCGATTGTGTAAAACAGCAGGCAATATATCTTGATTTACGATATGACAATAAAAAATAAAATTCATATTTCATACCTGCATCATTGAATTGCTGGTGCTTAAAAGCACTTCTTGTTTCATTTGTCCTTAAATTCTCCTCTTCTACTGCAAATAAGTGGGAGAAGTCAATGATTGTTGAATTAAAACTATTAAAAAAAATTTTTCGAAGCGACGTGGATCCTTCCTTCAAGACGTCCAAGATGGGAATGAGTGTCTGCTGTGGAGAAATTTTATTTTATACTCGGCTCGATACTCGGGCTCTGGCTGCCGTGCGCTGATTGGACGGGCCACTCTCTGCGACAGCTAGACGCTGATTGGCCGGGCGCACTTATGGCCAACGTCTATAAATATAGGTAGTTTTTTTGCGATCGCTTCAGTGAGCAGTTGAATCTTCAAGAAGCAATATCTGTGCAGCTTAAAAAAATATTTTTAGCTTCTATTCGTTGTTGGAATTAGAGAACCACTTCCAATATTGAAGATAATATAACCGAAAAAACATTTATATTTGTTCTTCTACTACAAAATCACTATATATATTTTTAAACAAAAAGAATTATGTAAATAATATTTAATTATTCAAAATTATATAAATAAAAGCATTATGATATCAGGTGAGTTGATCGTGCTCTGCGATAATTGTCATCTATTATATAGTACCTCCATAACAATTGAGTAATAACAGGTATTAACATGATCTCCATGCGGTAACCAGACGTGGGATATTGTTACCGACAGTTTTGTCGACACACTGGACCAAGAAGATTTCTTCTTGACCCAGAGTAGTTCTAGTAGTAATTGACGTTGGCGCTTATACTGACTTTTGTTAATCATTCAATAGTGAAAGTAATTTTTTTACAATTATTCACTCCTGCAATTTATAAAATTTTTAAAATGAAAGCTATTATTCAACGTGTTTCTAAAGCAAGTGTTTCGGGTAATTGTAGTTTACTTTATATATAAAATCAATTGTTGCAACTTTTTAGCAAAGTTGTTTTTTCTTTTTTTTCATTAACGATTCTGTCACGTGTTATTCAATTTACATATTAAAATTCCATTAGTTTTTAAATTAAATTGATAAATGTATAAATATGAAACTGTTAAAACCATAACTATGTTTATTATTATTTCAGTTAAACAAACAATTCATCTGATTATAAATGATAGTTAAAGGAATTAATATAAATAAAACATTTGAATACATTAATAGTAAACAATTAAGTTACACTTTTCTTTTTTAGAATTTTTATGTCTCAATAAATATATTAAAATAATTTAACTACTTTTTATGATAATTTTCGAAAGTTTAAAAAATTATTTATATGTTAAAAAGTTTTAAAAATGGTAAAATATTTGTATTGTTTTAGTTAATGGAGAAATTATTAGCAGTATTGAAAATGGCTTGTGTGTTCTGATTGGTATAAAAAGAGACGACACACTAAATGATATGGAATACATGTAATAAAAGAATTGTCACCTCTAAATTATACCCTTTTTATATTAAAAAGCCAACTGCATGAAAAATGATTTTTTTTTAACTTTAAAGTCTGCATTTTAATAATTATAATTTTAATTGCTTATTTTACACAAATTCTGTTATTTTGTGACGTTTTGTAATTTTATAATTACAATTTTTATTGCAGAGTTAAAAAAATATTAAATACAAAAGTTTTTGAAAGTGACGATGGAAAAAAGTGGGCGGCAAGTGTAAAAGAAAAGAAATATGAAATACTTTGTATAAGTCAATTTACACTTTATCATATTTTAAAAGGTAATCGACTTGATTTTCATAGAGCAATGCATGCTCACGAAGCAGAGATTTTTTACAATAAATTTCTTACTCAACTTAGTGAAGATTATGATTCAGAAAAAATAAAAGGTATAGATTTTTATTTTTAAAATACATATTTTAGTATTATTTTTAGTTTTTAAATTTTAATTCCGAAATTTTAGATGGTAAATTTGGTGCAATGATGGAAGTTAATATTCAAAATTCTGGACCAGTAACTTTGGAAATAGAATCTTCAGTTCTCTCGGATTGAAAAAAAAAATAAATTTAAACATATATTTTTGTTAAAATATTGCATGCTGCTGGTAATTATAGTTTTTTCACATGTTTATATTTGAATACATGTTTTTATTGAAAACAAACACAAAAAAATTCGTTAATTTGAAATGAATTTTCCTTAATTTATTTAGTTTTAATAGGATATTAAATTAGAGTAATTAAATATAACAGAAAAAATGTCAGCTATGACAAATCTAGTTTTAAAAAATTGAGGTTAAGTTACAACTTTTAATTGAAAAGGAAATTTTGTTAAATTCTATTTTTGATATCGTTAAACTTGATTTTTCTAAAAAAAAAAAAGTAATATTATTAAATTATACTAGTTATATAATACTTATATTAGGACTGACAATTTATAAAGTGACGTTGACAGTAACAGTTTTGCGCCATTGACAGAAATCAGCTGATGCTGACAATATGTCAGAGGCGAGGTAAAAAGTTTATAGGTTATAAATTTTAGTTTTTTCATTTAATTTTTGATTATTTCGCATAAAAATAATTTGAATTTTGTAATTAAAATGACTTTTCATCATTGTGAATTTAATCTAATAATTATTTTCTTTCTCTACAGGAATTGTATGTTTAAACAAATTTCCTTATGTTTATAATAATATTTCATATCTCGTGTTGTCACTTGTGCCTTAATTTTGTGTGATTTTATAAATGTAAATATGAATAATAAAAAGGTCCAGGAGAAAAATGAGAATTCAAATAATATAAATTCTAATGTTAATCCAGGTAATTAAATTTTATTATGTAATTTTTATTATTTAAAAAAAACACTTGAATTAATTTAAATGCAATTGTTTTGATTATTGTTGCAGATAATTTAAAAAAAAGTGAAATGGATGTTTTAAAAAAAACTGATAAAGAAACTCCAAAAACGAAATTAAAAAATGACACTGAAGAAGTTAGTAATTTATCAAAAACGTCACCGGTAAATAAATACACTTTGCTTGTTAATTAATGAATTTATAATTATTGGTAAACTATTTAAAGAAAATTTTAGAAATATATATTTTAAAAAAATATATATTTTTCAGTTAAAAACGCGAAAAGAAGAGAGAAAATCGGAAACAGTTGATGATTTAAAATTACAATTAAATACGTTAATGAATTCACTGGCGACTCTTTCTGCAGAAAAGTCAAAAATGGAAGCTCAATTTCAAATTGATAAAAAGCAATTAAGAAGCGATCGAGAAGAAGTAAAGTATCCCTTTTTTTCTGTAAAAATCATGAAAATAATTTCGTTGAATTATGTTAAATATAATTTTGTTTCTAACAGAATGAAAAAGTAATCAAAGATTTAAAAGATAAACTAAAATATGCCCAAAATAATTCACATTCGGAAATGGAGCATTTAAAGTATAAATTAATTATGGAGAGACATGAAAGAGAAAAGGAGCACTCTGATCATTCTGCAATAATGAAGTATATAGATAATTATGATAATTTAATAAATAATAATAAATAAATCATTTTTTAAATTATAATTTTCATTATAGAGAACTTCAAAAGGTCGTTAACAATGAACGACGAATTCGTGAACAATTGGAAGGGCAAATAAAGGATTTAAAAGGACATGTATCGAATAAATCACAGAATAAAGTTTTAGAAGCCGAATTAGAAATAATGAAAAATAAATTGAAACATGCAGAAGCTGCAGCTAAAGAGACTCCGCCATTGCTTCTTTCCTTGCAAGCCGAAATGACAGCAATGAAAAAGCAACATCGTTCCGCGATACACGATGTAAATTTTATTTCATTTTTTATTATCTTGTATTTGCATTTATTTTTACGTATTTTTTAATTTATTTACATTTTATATTTTTATTTTCTCATTGACAGGAGCAAAAGAAAGCAACAGCTGCTCAACAACATGCAAGAGCTCTTGCAATGGTTCATGAAAAACGTGTAGCAAGTTTAGAAGCTCGATTGGCAGAACTTTCAGAAACTGTTGGTGGTTATGATAGAGCCAGACAGCAAGATCAACAGGCAATTCAAAAATTAAAAGATCAATTAACATATCTTGAAAATATTGACTATAGTGATCATTTTAGTAATGATTTTTCCAAAGATCCAAAAAAAATTGTTTCAAACATACGTGAACAATATACACTTCTAATGAATTTAGACAGAGAACATTCTTTTGCCAATGTTAAAGGTAATTAAAATTTAAACAATTTTTTTTCTATTTAATTTAAAAAGAATAATAATAGAATTTTTTTTAAATCCGAAATTTTTAGATTTATTAAACAGTTTAAATTTGAGTGATGCCAGTCAGGATCATGGGAATAAATACGAGAGTCTTTTAGAAGAATTTGAAGAACTTAAGCGTCAGAAAGTTGTATCGAGCAATAATACAACGAAAAATGAAATGGCAAATAGTTTTAAAAATTCTAACGAAAATTCAAATGAATGCGCTCAATTACAACGTATTAAAACACATAATAAAAATTTAGAAGAGAGAATACGATTATTAAACGAAGAGATTGCTAAACGAGAGCAAGAATTCAAAGTCAAATTAGAAAATCAACATAAAGTAATTATTTTATTATTTAAGATCCAAAAATTATAATTTAATACTAATTTTGAAAAAATAATTTTTTAGATATTGCAAGATGAACGTATAAAATATGAGAGACTAATGAATCAAAAGGATAATGAATATCGAGGAAAAATTGTAGCACTTGAACATCAATTATTGCGACAAAGAGAACGATCATTAGCCGTTATTAATGAGAAGGATCAAGAAATTTTAACATTAAAATCCTCTTTTCAGGCCTTATTACCAAATAAAGGATCATCATTTTCTGATAATAAAATTCATCATTCATCTGTTGATGTTAACAGTGAGCCATCAGCTGATTTGGTAACTGGATTGTTAACCACAGACAATAATCCTCCAATGTTGCATTACGCTCAAGAATTAGCGAGACGTGAAATAGAAGTTTCAAATTTACGAAAACAAAATGTTGAACTTGAGGCAATGCTACGAGAAAAACAACGTGATCTTTTTCACGAAACAGAAAGACACAAAGATGAATTAAAAAAATTACAGTCTCAAATAACCAGGTTCGTGTTTTGAAACTAAAAAAAAAAATAAATAAATACTTGAAATTGTTTAAAAAATAAGATTTTTCTTCCCAAATTTATAGATTGGAAGCATGCAAATCGAGGGAAGGAGCTAATCTAGAGTATCTTAAGAATGTAATTGTTAATTATTTGATAACCAGTGATCCATCAAGTAAAAGACATATGTTAAATGCAATTTCGACAGTATTACATTTCACGGCTGAAGAAACGGAAAAAATTCGTCGAGTTAAGTAGCAAAAAAATAAAAATTTAATAAAAGTTTTTACACTAAAATAAATAGTTTTTTCAGATAAAAATGATAATTTTTTTTTGGTGGAATTTAAGAAAAAACATTATGAAGATGATGTCCTCGAACATTGAATATATTTTGCCTCCTTTACATTTTTTTTCTTTTTTTCTTTTTTTTTTTTTGTAAAATAATTGTACAGCATACTCGAATACCCATTTCGAATGTACACTTTTTTTTTTAAAACGAAGGAAAAGAAACAATTTCAACTAAATCATTCAGTCAGACACAATGGAAGAATTACGTATTGACTTTCTTTCTATCCCATGTCGTTCATAAATAGACATTTTTGTTAATATTTTTATACCAAAAAGTTGAGTGCTTAATCCTTATACATATTCACGGAAAAAAAAAAATCTTCCTTTTTTGTTAAATTAATAAGTTTGAAAAGTACTTTCTTACTAATGATCCAAGAAGCAGAATTTTCTCATAAATTAAACTATTTTGTTAATCATTTTTTTTTTCGATAACATTTGGCTATTTTAAAAATAATTTTATTTACAAGTAGAATCTTGATAAGTCAAAGAAAAAAAAATTTTTTTTTTGTTCCCTTCCTTTTAACAAATTTGTTCAAACTACATTTTTAAAACACTCCCGTTAAAATTCGATTTAACAAGGTTCTACTTTTAGAAAAAGCACTTCAGTCCTCTTTTTTAATAATAAACTCATTCTCCCTTAAATTCTACTTCTTGCTAATCATTTTTTTTTTTTCAAAAACATGGACACATTTAATATTTTCTTTTTATACACTTATAAATAAAAATTTTCTATAATTTTTTCTACAATTTTTTTTTTCATATATAAAATTATAGTGCACTCTTGCCTTCTGTTATACAAAATTGATATCACAGGCTTCGAATCTCGAATAAAGAAAGAAATTTTCATAATTATCAAAAATATTCATAAATAAAATGATAAATTTTCAATTTTTTTGTCATTTTTAAATTAAATTAGAAATCAATTAAATTATTTAATGAGGTTTTTTAAAAAAATTTTGAAATTGAGATCAAAAAGCGTGTGATATCATTGGATAAATTGTCACTGATTAATTTCTCTCCAAACATACATTTTGACATGATGTCATAATATTCAAAAACTAGAACATCTGCGTGCGCCAGAAACAAATTTGGTCCGACGAACTGGTTTTTTTTTTCATTAATTTTTTTTTGTCTGGACATTGGAGTTAAAACCTACCAATCACGATTAATTTTTTTTTCAAACTAGAGATTTAAATGCGAAAATATTGTGTCTCGAATTCATTTTTTCCGTTTATATTCTTCATTTCTAAATTAAATTCTAATTTCTAAATTTAGAACCTTCTAAATGTTTTTCTTTTTTTTATTATTATATATAAAATTTATAGCATCTTGTATTAAAAATTAATATTTTATCAAACACTGAAAGGCTTTTCGCATTTTAATCTCTCGTTGAATTTAAAGAGAAAAAGAGGCCGGTAAGACTTAATTAACAGCGAAGTGGATGAGGAGGAAGCTACAAACTTTTACAATTATTGAAAGGCGAACAGGTCTCTCTTCTTTTTTTTTTATTATTACAATGCCATTCCTTTCTAAATTTTTCGCTTGTTAAGTACAATTTGTGATTAAGAAAAAAAAGAAAATAAAATCTCTTACTAGTTTCTTCATTTTTAATTTAACAATTAATTCATTTTTAAATTTTAAAAATAATTGATGGTCCCGTCAAGCTTAACAAATGCAATTTAACAATCGATCAGTTTAAATAATTAATAAATATGTTTTTTTTATTGTTTTAAAAGGGGAAATCCATTAAAAACAATAAATTACTTTAATTAATTTAAAAATTAAGTTAATTATAAATTTCAAAGATAAAAAACAAATTAAAAATTTTTTTTTTACATAAAATATAAATTTTGTTAGAATTTTAATTTTTAAAAACTATTTTATTGTATTTTTCATTAATAAAATATTGAAAAATTTGGTAATCCCCTTTTAAAATTGACTTTTTGAGACTTACAATACAGTTCATATTCCCTTTCAATTCCTTCGCGTTAAATGAATGAACTATGTAATTTCGAAGAGAAATATAATGGTGTGTATTTTTTTTTATGTACATGATCGGATCAATTAAATCATCGCTGTTTAGTCGCTATCGTACTCAAATTAGAATTTTTTTTTTTTAACAAATATTTACTCCGAATGAATGGAGATTGTCGTTCGACTGCAATATCAAGCACTTTGTGGCAAATAAGAGGCACGAGATATTTACTTCCGCAAAGAACATCCTGTTCCGAGACAAAGTTTTTTATTTATTTTTTTTACTAACTTCTTTTTAAAATTTTTGTACTTCCAAAAGTAGTTTTTTTTACCCTTTCTACATCAAGCGTCAACCTCTTTATCAATAATCAATAAATAATTTTATAGGATTTTTTTCAAAGTCCGAAACATTAATTTGTACCAAAAACCGGATTTTTTTATTTTATGAAAAAACTCGTCTGTTATTCTTTTAGAGAGAGTTTTCTGTAAAAATTAATTAATTTCAATTTATTAAAAAATCGTTTATCGTTTCAAATATAAAATTTTTAATTATAACATTAAATTAGCTAAATATTAAAATATTTAATTTAAAAGAATTAAACATTTTACATTTAATTTTTTACATTAGCTAAATTTTCAAATTGAATAATAAAATGTAATTTTCAACTTTAATTTCCTTTTAAATTCAAAATATTTCTGAAAAAAAAATAATTTTACTATTATTATAATTATGTGTTGTCATTTTTTTTTTAAATAAAAATAATCAGTTTTTAGTATTGCGAAAATGTTGGTTTTTTTTCAAAAGGTTGAATAACTTTTTATTTACATATTATTTACAAACTCGACGAGATTTTCAAAACCGGAAACAAAAGAGAATTCTCGAGTTTCCCCTATGAAAAATCCGGTTTGTTCTTTGAATAGAATTCTAAAAAAGAGCTTGTTTAAATTTACTTGTAGAAATTAAAATTTTTATATTAAAAAGAAAAACATTATCTTTTCAGAAAACTGAATTTTTTTAATAATTTTTTAAAAGTCAATATCAATTGACTGATATATAACAATAATAGAATTTCTTTTTTTTAGAATTCTATTCGATTGAGCAAAGAAAATGCACATTCTTCATAACTCTATTCTCTAAAATTCGTACTTCGTCGGAAACAATGCGGTCGATTTTACGGAATTCATCGGATTGGTTAAGATTTTAATACCTCTGCCTGATATTTTTTGTTAAAACGTCAAATATATTTTATACATATCGAGGCATCTTTCCATATTGTGTTATTTTTTAATTTTAAAACTCTCATTCAAAAACAAAAAAGTATAATATTTATATATAATATATATATATATATATGGAAACAAAATCCAAGTGTTTCTCTAAATTGAGAAAACAAGAATTTTGACAAAAAAAAAGAGTGCGTTGAACATTATGGGAAAATAGGCCTTATATGTACATGTCGACACATTTTTTTCAGAGTATCATAATTTTCATATTTTCTATATAATGATTTATTGTTTACGTATGCGCGTATTTTTACCTGCATAATCGTATTCTGTCAAATATATTATAATATATACAGATGGATTTTACTGCACAGATGTACGTTGAATATATAAATATACAATAAGAACGTTTTAACTTTAGTCATTGATAATTTAAAACAGATTTTTTTTTTCATTCCATACTGAAAAATTTCAATAATATTGATACACGATTATTCAAAAAAAAAAAAAAAATTAAACAAAAGATTTTCTATATAATTGTATAATATATATTTATATAATCATGTATCGTGAGATATGACCAAAAAAGACGTCTTTACTGTATAATATATATTATATATCTATAGAGAGACTTTTAGCACTTCTACACGTGACATTATTTTTTTTTTTCGTATGCTTGTTATAATTGCATAACATTATATTCGATCGATATATATAATATTTATATAACAGTTTTTAAAAATATTTCAAAATTAAACAAGGGACAATAGAATAATAATAATTGTTACAATCGATAATAGCAACTAATAGTATCGTACAGATATGATAATCCGATTTAGATTCATAATAAGTTTTCTCTCAGAGAACTGATTCTTTTCCTATACAGTTTCTTTCTTTCATTTTTTTTTTATCAGCGGTTTTCGCATTTTAAAAGTGAGTTGATTAAGAAATATAGCTTGGAAGTCAGCTAGATATATGTAAAGCTCGAAGAAGAAGAAAAAAAATATTTCAAAACAAAAAAATTATCAGGACAGGAAGATAAGTTGTGGTGAAAAAATTGTCAGTGTCATAGCCGCCACTTTACTTTACTTCTGTTTTTTTTTCTAGATCACAGTCACTTGCATGGCTGCTAAATCATGGAACACATTTAATCACCTTGTTAAAGAAAAGAAAAGAAAAAAAAAATTGAAAAGTATCAAAGCCTTCTCAAAAATCTTATCAATACTGGAAAGTAGCTTACACGCTTACACAAGTACAAAATATAGTAATTTTATCGTTTCTTTGAGCGGGGGCAATCGCGAAGGACGCTTTTATCCCTGTTTCAGTTCATTAAATATTTCTCATCGAAGACAATTATATGCAAGAACAATTTAAAAAAAAATGTGTAAATACAATTATTTAGATTTATTCGATTAAAAAAAAAAATGTTTGAGAAAAATTCAACATATTAAAAATTTTACTAATTAAATTAATAAAAGAAACAAAATAATTTCTTTCATTTTAATAAAAAGCTCAATAAAATTTTTTAAAAAATTACCTATTATCAATCGAAAAATAAAAAGATTGAATTTTTTTTTATCAAAAAAATTGTCTTCTTAAAAAGAGAAAAAAAAGGCGAGAAATAAGCGTCCCTTCTATACGAGCAAAACATGATTGTTGCCACCTTTACATTAAAAACGCCTCACAAAAGAACTATAACATGATGAGTTATCTGAGAATAATATGTAGTATTTTTTTTTATGTACAATTAAAAGTGATTTAACACTTTAGAAAAAAAGGGCAACTTTGGAGGAGGGTTAAGGGGGAACCGTCCAGAGCACAAAAGTCTGTCGACGTATCAAGGCCCATTATTCTATCATAGTTTTTTTTTTAAACTACCCTAATCCTGCCTTTCTTATATATTCATGTCGTTACATTATGGATTGTAACGCTACCATAATTTGTCTACTTCAAATTTACAATCTACGATTTTTTCTTTTTATAATAATAATAATAATATAATAATAATATAATAATATAATAATAATAATAATAATAATAAAATAATAATAATAATAATAATTCAATTAATGTACCGTACGCATCTATTTACAAAATATATCGAAGAAATCTATCCTAACTAATAATAAGGTAATGCGTGCTGTGGCGCGAAACCCTAAAAAAAATTCTTTTAAAGTGCGCTTTCGCCAAGTTCTTGTTAATTTACATCCCCTATTTTACAGCCAAATTCAACAATCCTCGTTCAGATTCAACACATTAGCTTCAATCACTCCCCCCTCAAAAAAAAAACAATAAAAATAACGTAAAAGATAGAAATAAAAATAAAAATTTCATAAAAAATGTAAAATTGTAAAAACGTAATTTTCTGGTAAAGGAAAAAAAACATAACTAACGTTCAGCACAATAACACGTTATTTTCTCTTCTTTTTGTGAAATAAAATAAAATTTATTTCTGAAAATGTATTTTTTTAAAATTACGATTTATAAAAAAAAAAATCTTTAAATTTCCTTTCAAGGAAAATAATATTTATAACTCGAATAAAAATATTTTACACTATAACGATAAAAGTTTTACCAAAAAAAAAGAAAAAACCTCGTTTTTTGTTTATAATAAGTATTTCGAAGTAGAAAATATTGAAAGTTAATATCAAAAATTATCATTTCAAAAACGTTTTGTTAACATTGTTGTAAAAATTGATGGTAATAAAGATATAGATAATTAATAACAATATAGTAGTATGTAAACAGTAGAAAGTTACATTAACAATAAAAAATATTATTAATAAATAATATTTAAAATTTATTTTCATTAAAAAAAAAAATTTCTGTTAAAATAAAACAATCAAAAATGCATTGAAAAACAAGTCCTAATTTATAAAAAATATTTTGAAAAAAATAAAAAATCTATTGCCACAGAAATAAATATGTTGAAAAATAGAACATATGGTTGAAAAAAATACAGATGAAAAGAAAAACCGAGAACATAAAAATTATGTTTACAAATCGAGATCATAAAAGTATGTTTGAAAATTCAAAAACTGTTTGAAGAATCAAAAAACAAAAATACATTTGAACAAAACAAAATCGATTGATAAAAAATCATGAAAAAAAAAGATCATGAAAAAAATGTGTTGAATTTGAGCAAGGCTTTAAAAACAGTTGATAAGTACTTTCAAGAAACATTTTACAGATTAACTATATATCCCGAGTAGCGTCTAACAGTTAATTTATTACTAACAAGGGAAAATGCAACGATCGCATTTTTTTTTGTCGCCGCACAATGGCACGTTCTTTTTTTTTTTTTTTTTATTTTTTGCTTTTCATTCTTTATATGATATAATCTAGAAATCACCAAAAAACACACCGCGCATAGTCTTGAATTCAAGACCGCGGGTATAATAATAGACCTTTTTTTTTTTTTTAACTCTTTCGGAAATTTTTCGTTCTCTCTTTTTTTTTCAAGACTTGCCACAGTGTTTTACACGATAGAATAAATATTATGTTTTTGCGGATACATAACTTTTTTTTTGTGCTATGGTTAATGCAGTTGTTTTTTTTTTATCCTTCAATCCATAGAGCTTTTCTTTTTCAACTATATAGTAATATTATTGAAGTATAACTAAAGTATATAAACTCTGATTTTTATAATTTCTTGTTATATAATTCTAATAGTTCTCCGATTCATTTCTCACGCATACATGCACTCTGTTTTTTTTTCTCTCTCCCTCAGTTTCCTTGTCATCATAGTATTTTCAACAACATTTAACAATGGCTTAGGCTTAAGCGTGCCAATCTACAACGATCAGCTTCTATAATAATATTATAATTTATTCTACACAGTCTCGTACCAAAATAAATTCAAGTTCTCTTTTTTTTTAATAGAGAGAAAAAGAGAGAGAGAGAGACATATAGAGAGGGAGAGAGAGACTGTCTTTGAATTTAGAATAGAGATTCGTATTGTCTTCGATTATTTGGAGATAAAGAACTCACACCTATCGAAGGTTTATTGAGGTCAAGAAATTTAATTTCTTTCTTTTTTTTTGTGCATTCGCTTATCATTGTTGAGAAATTACTATATAATATTTATATATAATATATTTAAGTTTGTTCTTTGAATATAACTGACGTTTGTATGTTAGCACGCTTGTAAATTTACCTATACAACACATTAGATCAAGATTTCAAATTGCACTGAAGCCTTACAGTTTATCCAAAGGAAACTGTACATTAACAATTCTTTTTTTTTTTACCAAGACGAAACAGCAGCATCCTTTTCAGAGGATAATGATGTATTCATGTTTAGGAATTAGGGGATGCAAAGTATCACAGTTGACTCGTGGGTGCTAGCTACCACTGCTGCTTACAGGCAGTGATTGGGGAGCTCCCATTGATGTGGGAGGAGCAGTCAAGGGACCTAAAAAGCAAATTTATTTTCTTTAATTGAATTTCAAATTCAACAAAAAGGCAAATACAATATTTTGATTTTTAATTCGAAAATTATCACATTTATTTCATTAATAATTTTCAATATTTATTTATTCTCATTTAAAGTATACTTAAAAATTAAATATCCAATTGTAAAATGAAAAATTGATAGAGCTGTAGTTGCATTTTGTTTGAATTATCAGTGTAATTGTGTTTAAAGTTTTGTGTGAATCGCATATGTAATGAGAGAAAAAGTGTTTGAATTATTAATTCATACCTGTTTATAAAGCCTCCATTCTTTGGCGTCAATGGCCAACGTATCAAAAATACGAATGTAGTGGCAATATAAATGATATTTGACAAAAAAATTTCAAAATTTATAAAAAAAAAAGGAAATAATTCTAAAATTGCAATAAAGATTAATAAAAAATGGAAAAAAGCAATACACAAAACTGTAAACAAAATACAATAAACAAATAGATAAACGAATTTATAAATAAATATACGAGGAAAAATATAGCAAATAAATATAGTAAACGAATATAATACAAATTTAAATAAAAATAAAAATATAATAAACAAATTAACTAATGAATAATAAAATAAATACTATAAATAAATATTATATTATAAACAAATATATAAAAATAATATATAAAATAAATAATCTAAACAAATATGGCAAACAATTTCAGAGAAATAATAAAATTAAAAAAAAGAAAACGAATTTAAAAAAGTAAAACTAAATGAAAACAACACGCTTTAATACCTTTAGCAGTTATTACTTTCAAGCCACCATTGACGCCAATTGGATGAAGGTGTTCTTGAATCCGTCGAAACTAAATGAAATGACAATGTTGATTAAATTTGGAAAAAATATATACAATCCAGTTTGATGTTTTCACTATTTTAATTTTGATTTTCAAGAACATGGCAAAAAATAAGATTGTATTTTAGTGTTGCAAAAAAAAAAAAAAAAAAAAAAATTCACTTACCAGAAATATTAGGTGATGGTTCAGAAGTGGGCAGAGGACTCACAAGACTATTGGCGCTCATTGGAGTTGAATTAGATTTAAGTTTTTGTCTAACTTCACGAATTTTTAATTGCAAACTTGTTTTACTTGGAAAAATATCCGAATGTTTCGCCTGAAATGCAGAGGTAGCTTGCGTTGATGGAAAATAACCATTTTCTTGAAACAATTGCATAACAAGTTGTCGTCGTTGCTCTAAAATTTTCCTATGACCACGTTCATTATCACTTCTATTGACACCAACATTTGTATTTCCACCTACACCTCCGCCCGGTGTTTTTGGTGTTCGCGGTGATGTTGCATCAACATCACCCAAAATATCCGTACTAGCTCTATAAGCATCAACATTGAAATCCGGTCCAAAGAAGGTATTGCCAGTTAATTTTACATTTGTTGTTGATTTTGATGTCGCTGAAACTGGCACATCGGATTCCATTTCTTCCTCGTTAACTAATTTCAAAAAAGAAGAAGAAAATTAAAATTATTTCAATTTTCTTAAAATAAACTACTTTTTTTTAAAAAAATATATTTTTTTATTAAAGAAAGAAAGAAATTACTTGAAGCACGATGAGATCCTGATATAGATTTTTTGCGATAACTTTGCAAGGATGAGGCGATATTGGAAGAATGTAAATTTGCAGTGACGGGGCCATGAGCCGATGTTCCGGCCGATGCGTTCAAGCTAATTGCACTAGGACTTTGGATATCTTCCGGTTTAAATTCCGGTAATGATGAAAATTTTTCTTGGAAATTGACTTGCTCAAGGACCCTAAAAATATTAATAAAATTATATTATAACATTTGGTTAAAGATTAAATGTAAAAAAAAAAAAAGAGAAACATACCTATCCATGCCGTCTTCGAAGTTTTTCTTGAAGAAAGAACCTTTTTTTGTTGAAGGTGAAGGCGATGCGAGAGATTCTGACAAATTTTGTTGTAAAATTTGCTCCGTATTTTGGGACGAACTATTAAGTGATCTATTGTCTGAACGTTGAGACGTTAGAGGCCCATGATCTCCTGCATTTGATGTGGGAGGCATTGCTGTTTTACAATAAAATAATTAATTATTAGATAAATAAATCAAAATTTCATAATTTAGAAGTTTTAATTTTATTAAATTAATTTTTATGTTATTTCAAAAATTGTAAAAAAATTTATTGAATTATACCCATTGATTGTCTCCTTTGTAAAGGTGCTCGACCAAGTTGTGCAGGTGTGGGCGCTAACATAAAAGTTCCTTTATTGGTAGCAACATCATTAGCAGAACCCATTGTTTCATCTACAGTATACGATTTATTAGACGAATGATCACCACCACTTCCGGAATTGCTATGAGGAGTATGGGGTGTATGAGGCGTTGATGGTGGTTTTTGTTTCTCGATAATCATCAAATTGTTCACAGTATCTTTTCTCTCTTGCTCTTTAATGTTATTTACTGAAATAAATTGTTATTTTCTAATTACTCTAAATAACATACTTTCAAAAACTAACAAAAATTCACTTTTTATTATTATTAACATTTAAATTAATTTACAGGTCATAAATAATATTCTCTATTGTTTCTTATTAATTTGTTAAAAATTTATTATTTATAATTGTATCGTTTAAAAATGATTTATTATTAATTTTATTTTAAATCATTAATTTGGAAAAATATACTCACCATACGTTTGATTGTGATTTTCATTTTTCTCGGGTTCTGCGAGTCTAGCGATTGAATGACCTATTCCTCGATAACTTGGAGTACTGGGATTTGATGTTGAAACAGGATATGATTTACTAACAATAACACCATGGGATTCTACTTTACCGGGAATTAGATTTTGTACAGATATGTTACGTCCACTGGCATCTAAAAAATTTCAATTTTAAAATCTTAGATTTTTCTAATTTCAAATATTGAATTATTTTTTACGTGAAAATTCTTTTCTTTAAGGGAAATTTCGAGTTTTAATTAAAAAAGAGATTTTAATTTTTTAAACATAAAATCAAAATTGCAGAAATAAAAGAAAATTGAAGGAGATAATTAATATTTTAAAATAATTAATTTATAAAGTGTATTGTAATAAATTACCGGAAATTGGTATTTGAAATCCGCAATACATTCGTGAATGAGGTCCAGCTGGCCCAATATATTGTGCAGTCTGTTGAGGTTTAGAAACAGTCACAAGTTGATCATGATCAACCAATGTTAAAGTGAGTGACGATGGATAAGTTGTTGTTGTAATTGGTTGTCGATGAACAGTGCCTAAAGGTTGTAATGGCTGCTGTTGTTTTAACAGAGCCATCATGGGTTTCGATCCAATCTGTTAGTATCCGTTAATCATTGTTTTTTTTTTTCAAGAATTTATATTTTTTTCAACTCAGTTTTAGAAAAATATTTTTTGTACGAATTTTAATTTAAGAAAAAGAAATCTTGTTTACAAAATTAAATTTTTGTAAATTTAAACAAAATTAAAATTACTTTACTTTGAAAAGCCTTTTTAAATTATTTATTGTTATAAATAATTTGAATAAAATTCAAAATATTGAAAAATTCAAAACTTAAAATAATTAAATAATTGATTTTAAACTTACAGAATGTAATACTGGTGCAGCTGTGAATTTGTTTCTTCCATTTTCAGGATGGACATTGGCAACAAGATTGTTGACAGTGTATTGTGTGCTGTATTGTTGTTCGCTTTTCACGGCTTCCGGTTTGATGACTTTGGGCGATACGGGCATGGTGATGAAAGCTCCTCCAGTTGGTTGAAAGCCTGACACTCCTGTGGGATTGACGGGACTGTGATAAGGATATGTGGTCGATAAAACGGAAACTGTGCCACCCTTGTCCAAAGAAGCATGATGATATTTAGCTGTTGTTTCTATGCTCGTTGACGGTAGACGTGCTGCAATTAATTACTTTTTTCAAATATCTTTCTCCAAAAGATTTTTTTCTTCTTCAGTTTGAAAACTTTCCTTGTCAATTAAATTAATACAAAAAAAAGAAAAATTACCTTTGATTGGTTTTGGCCTACAAGTAATGTCCGTTTTGACAGCATCCGATTTTTGTCCACCTGTTGAATAAATTTGCATTTTTTTCTCAGGATCATCATCCTGTCCCTCATTGTCGCTGTCAATTAATTTATCCTTACATTTTAAATCTATTTCCGGTTGAGGATCTTCACAAATAACCATTTGATCATCGTCAGAGGCGTTTGCCTCTTCCTCCTGTTTTGTTTCTAATTCTGTACTTTCAACATGTAACGTTGCTTCTGGTATTCGATGAGTACTGTACGACTGGCTGACCTATTAGTAATAAAAGAAATATTTTTTTTTTAATTCAAAATTTCAAAAATTTTTTTAATAACAAAAATTTTAAATATTTTTAATATAATTACTTCAACTGTTGGATTTTCGTTGTAGATAGAATTAACAGGCATTGTGACATCATCATTTGCTCTTGGTGTTAATGGAACATCATCGGATGGTGGTCCAGCATCTGTTTCTTCACCGGTACTATTTAATTTTCCTCTTTGATCACCACCCTTAAAACTTGTTGTCGATGATTTTCGTCTATCTTTACTACACCATTTCCATTCGGGATGCGCTTTAAAATGTGCTTCCTTTACTTCTGAGGCGAGATTGTGATATTTTTGTTTCTCCTCTGGACCCAATGCGTACCACCATTCGCCAAGGATTTTCGATACCGTACGATTATCCTGATTTGGATGCCTTTGATGTACTACTGCCCGATGACGTTTCGAGAATATCATAAATGCATTCATTGGCCTACGAATTCGGTCTTTTGTCTGTAATAATTCGAAATTTATAAAAACAAAATTCCTTAATATTACAATTTTTTTAATTACAAAAGTTTGGCAGTAAATTGAATTTTTTTTTTTGAAAAAATTACCTTGAGCGGACTCTGTGGTTCTTTATTATGCAAAGAGCTGAGGGATTGACTACGACGTTTATTGGCATTAGCCTCGATTTCCGATGGTGTAATGGGCGTGGGCTCAAAAACATCGTCATCTTCTTCCTCAGCTGGGGTTATTGGTTCTGGTCCAGGACCATCTTCAGGAGGATTGCCAATTGTCATTGGAATTGGCGGTGCACTCAATGGTGGACTTAATGTCGATGGAGGTGGACTCACTTCTGGTTGATCCAATACTGTCTGCCAGGAAAAAGCTGCAATGAAGTTTGGGAGTTAGTTGCAATGAATGTTGTTAGTATTTTTTTTTACAGGGCAATAGCAGCCTATTCATGAAAATAAAAAAAAATAAAAATACAATTATAATTGTTAACTCGCGAGTAATCGACGATAACTGCAACGCTGCTGCTACAACCCTGAAGAATATGATGAGTTATTGTGCAAAGAGTTTTTTTTTTTCAATTATCGCTCTCTAGTGAAAAATTCCCTTAAAATTAATTTTAAAAAAAATTCATTATTTATTACTCTATTTATTATTTTTATAATCAGTGAATGAAAAAAAAATTGAAAAATTTTTGTCAAAAATTTATTAAAAATAAAAAATAAATATCAAGAGCGATAATTTGAAAATAGTGGTTAGTATAGAAACATTAATTTTCAGCAATCAAGCGATATTATACAATTATGCCTTGCTAGAAAAAAAGGGATAATGAAATGAGGATTAGATTAAGAGCATAGGTACTCGAAGATTTGTTGTAACAATGGTACTTTTTTTTCCGATAAGATTTTAAAATAGAAATAGTGTGTGAGGTGAAACAAACTCATGCAAAATATTTGCTTCAAATTTCAGTTAAGAATAGTAGAGATGTACTGGAAAAGAAATTCTAAAGCTCTACATTCGACTCCAAATAATAGAATACCATTGTATATTCTCTTTTTTACAACACATGCTTTCATTGCGGTCGTATGTTTTCTTTTCATTTTGGAATTCCAAACCTTTTTTCCAATTGCGTCCTGCACTGTTGAGAAATGTTGGGGGATGGGGCTGGTATGCAGAAGTAACATCATGGCTGCCATCTGTGAAACCCTTACCATTTAGTTAAACTCGCAAAAAACATGCGGGTTTTTTTGTTTTCAATCAAATTCCGTTTTTTATTATTAATTATGTATTATTATTTTAGTTTATTATTATTAAATTGTTAATATTACGACACGAGGTTTTTTTTACAATAGTGATTCTTCGGATAAAAAAAAAAATTTCTTGCTCCCAATTATTATTGTGCACTGATTGCGGTGGTGAGAAAAAAATATGGTTAAAGCTGTTAATCACAGATTCAATTGTCAGAATGTTAATAATTGTTTGTGTAATAAAAACAGGTGCTATTCTATTAAATGTACGAGCATAAAAAATGTGCATCATTATATATTTTATCTGTAATTTTTTTTGTAAAAATGGAAATATACGAGCAGACTACAAAAAGAAATTTCATTCATAAAGTCAAAAACTCTAAAAACATTTATAAAAAAAAATAAACTACATGCTAACATTTTATTAATAAATGCTCTAATAAAATTATATTTTTGCAAAAATTTGAAGAAACAAAAAAATTAAAATATAAAACTTGCCAAATTCTACACTACCACTATAGTGAAGGATAAAAATAAAGTGGCAAAAATTTTCATAAACGAACAAACTGTGAAACAAATTGTTGCTATTAATGAAAAAATGACTTACATAAAACTCCATTATTCTTTGTGCTTTCCTCACGTGGAAGTTGACAAACACTTTTGGGTACTTGAATTAAATGAGGTGTTGGTTGTACAATGACTTGTTGATAGACACTTGTTGGAGTGGAAATATTTGTAACAGGCGCCGTTGTAGTTGCTGCTATAACAACATTCGCTGGTGGAGGTTGAATCCTTTGTATATCCGTATGAACAGGTATGTGAGGAATTATTTTATTCGTCTGAAAAATTCAAAGTAGGTTTTAGTTGACTATTTCCTCATTTTATTAGCTTATTTTTTAAATAAGTACTTTTTTTGCAAAAAAAAAGATAGGATTCGATTTACTTTTTAAAATTTAATAAATTTTTAGTAATTTAAATAATAAAAAACTAATATATATAATAAAAAAATCAAATCATTTTTATACCCAGAAAGAAATAAAATTCTAAAAGAAAATACTATTACTTTGCTTTGAATATATTAAATCAAATTTTATTTTCAAATGAATGGGATATTTTTAGAAAAGAGCATATTAATCAAGAAAGATGTGTGAAATGATTGAAACTCAAAATAGTCGAATATCGTTGGCAATAATCCAAACACAGTGAGAGAGAAAGAGAATGAGTGAAAAAAAAAAGTCTTTACCTGTTGTACAACTGACATTTTCTCATGAACGGATGATGGAGCCGCCGCTGGCGATTGTGGTGGTGGTTGACACTGGATTTGATGTAACGATGGAAGAGAGCCAATTGGATTAATTAAAGAATGACGATATTTTTCATCTTGATTGACAACGTGCACTGGTGACGCAACTTCCATACTATTTTTTATAACAAAATACTTTTTTTCATGTTGCTGCATTACGTAGAGTGATTGTGATTGTGTTTGAGGTTGAGCATAATCAACGGGTTGTTCTTGAGTTTTATGTAAATGAGTTAATGGAGTTTGTGGTGGAGGTGCCGTCAATGGAACATGAGGCGAATGTGGCTGTTTTAATAATTGATTTTGCTGTTCGGAAATGTCGGAATGTGTCGGAAATCCATTATTTGAAGTCAGTGCTTGTTGTAGTATTATGCCTTGTTGTTGTTGGTGTTGTTGTTGCTGCTGATGCTGTTGATGCTGATGTTGTTGGTGTTGCTGTTGTTGATGCTGCTGATGTTGCTGTTGTTGATGTTGTTGCTGTTGTTGATGTTGCTGCTGTTGTTGTTGTTGATGTTGTTGTTGTTGATGTTGTTGAGCAATTGACGTGACAACCGAAGGATGTCTCGGCGGTGGACTTTGCTCTGACCATGAGAGCGATAAATTCTGATTGGGCATTCCACGTCCAACTGGGGAGATTCTTATAACACTGGTTCCTATACTAGCTGGGGCTGGAGCAGTCGGTGCCGGTCTATTTGGTCTCACCATTCGATTTGGTTCCGGCTTTATCACCTGTTGCTGGTATTGCACCAAAAAATTTGACTGTGTTGGCGAATGTTTCCATTTTGCACTGGGGGATATTAATGGTGTCACATGATGTGCCGGACTCGAGATTGGCATAAAAACATTGTTCTGATTCAGGCCCAATGCCGGTACCGGAGATTGATTTATGCACGGTGATATTGATGATTGACCCGTTGGCGACGAGAACGCTGGAGTCGCTGATCTCGAACTTCCTAAGGATACTGAAACAAAAGAAAATTCATAAACAACAAATAAATTGGTAAACAAATAAAGGTAAATAAAATGGAAAATAATCTTACCGAGCATATTAGCAGCTTCAGTTTCGTCTTGATCAAATCTGCCAGCTATTCTTCTGTCTCCATAATTTGGTGATGTTTCTGAATCTCTTGAAGTTTCTTCTCCGTCAACTCTTCCCCTAATAAAAGAGAAAAAAAAATTAAATTTTCGAAATGCAATTACATAGGTGAATTGATATTTGAAAATTTTAAATTCTTACCCAGGAAAGGTATTTGTTGGTCCTCTAAGGCCGGACCCTTTTAGACTAAGATGACGAGAGCAGTAACCTCGTCGTTGGCTCTCCTTGGAACATCCTTCTTTCGAACAGAGCCTTCTCCACTGCTTGCCATTGTATTTTTTCTTAATTCCACTTGGAGTAACTACTATATCACCCTTTTTATATTTATGTGGCGTTGCCGCCTGAGATCTGCAAATAAAAAAACAAGATAAATATTTTTAATTCTTTGTAAATAAATTTACATTACAAAAAAAAAATGATTCAATTTAAAAATTAATTTGATATTTTATCATTCTAATAAGTTACCTGGGTGTAGCAGCTTGAGAACGAGGAGTTATGCTTCGTTGCTCAACAAGACTACTAGTACTACCTCGACTTTGCATGCTACTTCTTTTACTGCTTCCCGACAATTTTGCATCTGCAAATAATTTCATTAAATACATAATTAATCAGTGAAAATAATTTTTGTTTTAGAATTCAGTAATTTTTATAATTCTAATTCTAATTGAAAATTTTAATTGTTTAATCATACCTGCATCCGGAAATGCAATATCTTCTCGATCTAAATCATCTTCACTCTCAATATCGTCATACGGCCTAGTCCCATTACTAAGTGCTGCCGAATGAACCGGTGTACTTGTCAACGGCATAAGTGGACTTGTAGCAGTAGTTCTATAATAACTACTCGTATCGCCATGTGTCGATACATGAGACGTTTGCTGATGCGAATGCAATTGTAAAATCGTCCCTGAAGCATCCAAGGAATTTCGATAATCTATTTGAAAAAAAAACAATTAATGTAATTAATGAAAAAAAATAATAAAATAAAAACAATGGAAGATTTAAATACCAGTCGATGATTCGCAGTCTTCCATTCCCTCTTCAAGTTCATCCCACCATGGTGGTTGCACCAATCTTAAATCAGCACGTTTCACAATAAAACTGTCACTTTGATCGTCGTCCCTTGGTATTTTAACAACAAAACCCTTTGGCCTTGTTAATATTTTGCACACAGTCCCTTTAACAAACATATTAGTCATTGCGTCAATGTGACAATTTGTCGTTGGACATCTGACGCACACTTTTGTATCTATTTTCACTTGGCCCACTGATGGGCTTGCATCGCTTATCACATCGTACTTGCCAACGCCAAATACATCACTGTAATGCACTATTTTTCCTTCACCATCAAATTCAATCCGAACTTCACCATGACTCGCGCTACGTATTACACCAGGAAAATAACGTGAATCTCTTAATGCTAACACACGATGATTGCACCACTCGCTGAGATCAATTCCGACGGGATGTGGCCGTGGACGAGAACGTGGCGATTCATCACGTAATGAATAATCCACTGCTGTACTCTGTGGAGGCAAAACAACCACCGACTGGCCTGAGGTTATCTGTAGAAAAAAGAAAAACAATTCTCTAAATCGATTCGAATAAAATGACATAATTTGAATAGGTTTAGAATTATACCTGAAAGCATTCTTGAACAGGTACTTGTTGAATCGGCGAGTGTTGCCGTTGAGGATGTTGCAAAGACATTGTATTTGAATGAATTGATGACGATGATGATGATGACAACGACTGATGACAGGATGTATAACTGATTGGTTGATTATTGGCGCGTATAATCATATTATTAACATTTGCGGTAACATTGCTTGTCTTATCCATTTCCTCAAGTTCTGATGGATCAAATTTTCTTTTCTTCGGTAATTTCTTGGCGCTGATCGTTGGATCTGATGGATCACGTTGGGGAGGCGGTGGTGGCGGGGGTGGTTGATCAGCGGTACATTTTTCATTAATCACCATACCACCCCCGCCAGTTCCATATTGCCCCCCACCACCAAGGGGGACAATATCCCTCTTCTCATGCATCTCAGGATGCGCAGTCAGCATTTTGCCCGCCTCACACTGCTCTGAAAAATTATTTTCATTTACAAATTATAATTTCTAGCTTTTTTTTTTTTTTTTGGAAAAATCTTAATCAGAGATTTTTTTTTTTTTTGGTAAATGATTTGCGAATTAAGAAATCGGTAGGAAAAATAGAATAGGGGGATTGATTTATGACCGATATACTTACAATCGATATAGATGAGAGGAGGCTGTAGACCGGAGTGCGGTAAGTTGAAGGTGGGAGGATGATGGCAACGGCTGGGTGCATACCTTAGCACCCGGCTGTCGGGGACGGGATGTGTTGTGTCAGGGCTCACACTTCTTGGCTTATCTTGCAAAACGGTTGTTCCCTCTCCCAGCTCCAATTCTTCTTCTTCTTCTTCTTCTTCCCAAACCCAGCTGCCGAGCATCCTCCCCCAAAGATTCTCTTTTTAGTCCAACACTTCCTCCTTCTTAATTTTTCTCACTTTTGTCAACAGTTTCCTGAAATAAAACAATATAATGTCAATTTTTTCTATATAAAATCGGGATTTCAAAATTTTTAATTTAATTTTTTTAATTTTTAATATTAATTATTATTAATATTTTTATTTTAATAAAAATAAAATAAAATTTTTAGCCTCTTTTTCTTCAAATTGGATTACAAATATAATAAATTGATAAAAATAAAACAAAAGAAAAAAATTATTAATTCTCATTGTTGAGAAACGTGTTGCTAAAAATAAAAAATGCTAAAGGATACTTGGGTTGCAAATCCCCTTGCACTGAACACAGAAAATTCTTGTATATATAGAAAGAAATCGTCAAGATATATAAAATATAATTCGCTACTGAAAGGAGATTAGAGATTTTCGCACGCGAGATATAATATTACGAAAGTATGTAATATTACAAATGAATGACGCAAACTCCACTAGGTGTAGAGTGAGAGAGACCATATTCGTAGGCGTATATTACCTGGCATAGTATTAATTATAATAAGTTCCTATGAAGTGTCAGAATGTCAGACATCCACTCGCACGTGTCATAGACAAATACATGTAAGCATATTTATTATATATATACAATTCCTTTCATTCTGAAAGACTGAAACTTTGCGCTTGCGTATATATGTACACATCAGGTAACTTCTTGCATACAGATGCACAATATATAACTTATCAAAGAAAATTATATCTTTCTTTTTTTTTTCTTCAAATATTGTTTTATAATCTAACTCTGTCATACAAATAATACGATAATGATACTTTTATCAAACATTTATTCATTGAACTAATTCACGAATAAACATAATTTTTTTTAATTAATTAATTAATAATAATTTTATAATTAATTAATATTTTAATATCAATTTATATTTTATAGTTATTATTAATTGCAAAATTTCTAGTGTTGTTTCAATCTATCATTATTTTAAACTGCCAATTAATGACACAATGATTTATTGAAAATTCGTGATTAATTGAAATTACAAAATAAATTGTAATTATGAACAATCATTCATTGACAATATTAATAATTATAAATTTAAATGGTCATTGATACGAAAATTAATTATTAATATGGAAACTGTCGTAAAACAAAAATTTTTTTTTTTTATTTGATTTTAATAAAACAATTTTCCTTGGACCAAATAACATTTTTATTTATGTCAAATAATTTTTATTTATATCAAAAAAATTATTTAAAATAATTAAAAATTGTTATTTAGTTAAATATAATTTTATTGAATTGAAATAAATATTTGGTTTGAAAAAAATTCTCTGGATTTGTAATTGTGAGAATCAATTAGTATATAAAATATAAGATAAATATGCGTCTATATTAGCAGTGAGAAAATGAGGAAGCGTTTTAATATGAACGTCAACGCGAGAGAGACGAGTTGAGGGAGTAGTGCATCGATTGAAAATCGCACATATATATATGTATATACAACATATAACAATCATGCGGGTGTTTATTGTATGAGTCGAACCTCAGAGTTGTATAAGCGTGCGCGCGTGTATATTTGATTCAACGCGCCACGAGAATGGAAGGGGTTATGTAAACAGTGCCGTAACTTTACAAACTTTTCTTTGGGTGGATGGGCGAGAACCATTAAAAAAAAAAAAAAAAAATTAAAAAAACAAAAAGACTTTTACATATATAATTATAAATATTAAGAAAAAATCTGAATACATATAATTTAATTCTGAAAGAATTAAAAATTAAAATTAAATTAATTAAACATAGAATTGAATAATAGAAATAATTAATAAAACAAAGAAAATCTTATTTTAAGGTAGTAATACAAATAATAATAATAACAAAGACAAATTATTTTTTTTTTTATATAAAAGCAACTGAATTCAAGAAACAAATGTCTTGAAATAAAAATTGTTCTTTTACACTAATTTTTTTTTTAATCACAATTATGATTATGTATAATGATTTATTATGTATATATGAATCAAAATTCAAATAATAAGCGGAAGAAAAAAAAAAACACAAAGTTGGTAATGACTTTATAATTTTTAATGAAAATAAAATGCGCAAGCGCCGTTGACTTTATCGCACTTCAGTTCAATGAAAAGTTTCAATGATTCATGAATTTTTCAATACTTCAATGAAACGTTTCATTAAGTGACTTCAATACTACAATACACCTAAATCCCAAATACTAATTTTAAGACAATTATCTTTCAATTTAAAAAATTCATTCAAAACAACTTTTTTTTAAATACATAATCTAAATAGTAATAATAATCCTCCTCATTATTATTATTATTTTTATTATTATTAATATTATTTAAATTATCTGCAGTTGAACAATAAATTATAAAAATATAATTATTATTTATTTAACTCTTTAGACAAATGTTTAAATTTTTTTTCTCTTATTAATATATAAAACAATGCGACTGCACTATTTTTTTTCAAATTGGAGATTACTTTAAATAAAAATTTTGTTATCTTATTTCTTTCGGAGATAAAAAATGCGCAGCAAAATTAAAAGTGTTGAAAAAGATAATAAGGAATTATATGTTTTTTGTGTTAAAAAAAAAAAAAAAAAATTAAAAAATTAGTTTGTCCCAAATAAAAACAATTGAGAAAAATAAATTCATGAAAAAAAAAAACAGTGTAACCTTCTGATTTCCACTTGATGAAGCATTTTACCTTCGCCTTTGACCTTTTAAACTCTACAAAAAAATCTAATTTTTTTTTTAATTTAATTTAAATTTTAATCTATAATAATAATTATACCGTAGAAAACAATTTATTTGTTTTAATAAATATTCTAATTCATGGAATTGAAAAAAGAAAAAAATATTAAATAATAATAATTAACAATAATTAATTCCGATAATCGAAATTTAAGACAACTTCCACTGATTTCGAGTTTAAAAAGAAAAAAGTATTTGGATTTTTGAATTTAAGATTAAAAATATAATTTTAAATAAATAAAATTTCTATATTAAATAATTTTATATTTTTAATATTAAAAAACTACTGTTTTTTGGAATGATAGAAATAAAATTTTTGAAAGGTGTTAAAAATTCGTTGAAAGTCTAAAATGAATCTTATTACGATTCCAAGATTCAGGTTAAGAAGGAGAAGAAGACTTTCAGCCACGAGTTCAGAGGGGAAATAAAAAAAAAAGAGAAAAAAAAAAAAGGAACATAAGTAAATAAAAAATGAAGAACCAAGAGAAAGAGAGAGAGAGAAAGAGGCGCGTCGCCTGCGTGGCCGAGGCTTTGAAAACAAGTCTCTTTGGATGGTGTGGGTAAAGGACCAAGGGTAATGTACCTCCTCAAAGTCTGACTCACGGACATTCCCACTTCCATTCTCACGAAGAAACTATCCGCCATTATGTTGCATGACCTGTCGCTTCCTATCTCTACCGTTTTTAGAACCAATTTCTTTCTATCTAGTATTTGAAATCATTTATAAAATTCTAAATCTATTTCTAGATTTCAATTTTTTTCCCCCATTATTTAAATCTAACTTCATTATAAATGAGAAACAAAATTTGTTTGTTTTACCTTCTCTCTTAATCTAAATTAATGAAAAATAGTTACAGTAAAATCTAACTGATTTTTTGCTTCAGCAAATTATAAGAAAAACTAATTATTAGTAAAAAAAAAAAAAAGTAAATAATTTTCAGTGGAAAAATAACTCAAAATTTTATTTTCAAGAAATGTGGAAATTTGTATTTATATAATTAAAAAAAAAATGATGAAAAAGAAACGAGAATTATCTCTAAAAAATTCACAAATGAAAACTTAAAAAAAAGATGATGACACCTTGACATAAATTACTCTAATAGAAAAAATTGTAATCTTACATTTCCAAAAATCTCCTTAGCCAATCGATAATATTATACATTTAAATGACTTGGTTTGTTAAAGTGACTCTCTGAAGAAATCCAAAAAATAAATTATATTTATAATAGTTAAAAGTTAAAATAATAATAATAATAATAATAATAATAATAATAGTGTTGAATATATGAAAATAAAAATTATAATTTAAAAATTCAATAGGTGATAATGTGTATACTTTTCCTAATCTTAAAAATCAAAAGGCATTATTTTATCCAAGTATCAATAGTTTTTCTCTGTAATAGATACACCCTCATCTTTCTCTCTATACATAAAAGAGTCCGGTCGGCTTAACTCGAGTGGAGGTAGAGTTCGCCAGGTACCTGCACGATTCATAACTTAACTGTGTCCATAATAACATTCGTGGGAGAGAAAGAGAGAGAGAGAGAGATGGGTCAGTTTATTATTACAGATCTTTTATTTTTGAACGCCGCCCGGAAAAAATTGTCGACAATATTCTTTTGACAATTTGACATTGAAGAAAAAGACTGAAGAGGGTCTCATTCTATATATATATATACGATATTTCGCCCTTAGGAGAGACACTTTTGTCCCCGGGAACCATCTCAATAACACACACCATTTTGAATCGGTTTTAAAGGCCTTTTATACAATTTACACTGCGCGCCTCTAAAACTCCAGGTCAAGTGTAATTAGATAATTCACAATAGAACCTCTCGAAAGTCGAATAAGATTCTCTGTCCTTCGCTTGTCTATATCGTTTCATTTTTTTTTTTTTTTCTTTTTTTCTATATAAGAAAGAATGTTCTACAACTTGTGGCCATAAAAAGAAAAAAAAATATTCCTAAGGACAATTTTATTGAGTTTTAATATATGTGAGGGGGGGGGGAGTGTCCCAATATATTTGTCAATGGTCCCATATTACAAAAGAAAAAAATATTTCAATGATGCTAAATTATATTATCGCAAAAAAAAAAAGAAAAACTACGTAATTTGACGGATAGTCAAAACAAAACTATTTTGAAATTTGTAAATAAAAAAACCAATATTTAAATTAAAAAAAACATTTTAGATTAAAATTTAATAAATACAATTTTTTCACTAGGAAATTATTTAAAATTTCACAATAATAATAATAGTGAAAAATTAACAAAAAAATTG